AAACATTATTATATGTTGGGTTTGGGGGGGGGGGGGGGGGCAGCCTAAGGGTTTCAATGGATTTGTAGACTGGACAAGTGTTCGTGGATTTGCCAGTCCCTTGTCACGTGTTGATAGACGTACATCTTGTCGTTTGTCTTCCAAAGGTCTTCAATGAAGTTGATTCACCCAGCTGCAACAAACCATCAGGCAGAACTTTACAACCAGTGAAGTATCTGCAGTCATATGTAATCCTTGCACTGATGGTGGGTTCTATTCACATCACATGTTCCCCTATAAAAAAGTGAATTTGTGTCGCATATATTATAATCTCATCTGATTCTGGATTTTACAGTCAGCTTCACAGGTGTCAACCTCCTGCCCAGGAATAAGGAAAACTTCGTTAAAGTCTCTTATTGTGTTTCCCTTCCGACTGGGGGACTTGTAGACTTCGGGGCAAACTTTCTTTGACGGTGGTGGATTATTCCCTTCGTTCGCCTCCGTATCCGAAACTGGCTACATCTGTTCCAATTCTGCTTCAGCCTCCAAGCGAGTCTTGAACTCTCTTTTTTTCACTCAATTGATACGTTCCCACATTGGGTTTGGCATGGAGAACTCGTCTTGAGAGAGTTTCGCTACCGCGTTTTTTTTCCGGCCAGTGTAGGATTCCAGCTTCTTTCCAACCAGAAAGAATTACGGTTAGGCATGTTTCGCATCTTTCAATTGTTTGTACCACTTTAAATGGCATTTTTTCCGCACTTGAACTTGGACGACACTAGCTGACTCCCTTCCGAAACATTTTGAACTGTCACTTTTCTCCAGGCAACTTTGTCATCATAAAACTGAACGGTACCAAGTCAAGTCAAAATGGATAATAAATAAACAATAAGGTATTCAAATTTACTTTATAAATGCTATAATAAACCATTGTGCAGCGATGATCGAGACGTTTCCGTCGGATAAGATTATTTTGCGGCCGAGTGTCTAGGAAGCTATGGAAACCGAAATGGCTCTTGATTTTGTTTTATGCCCTTATAGTATAAACCACCATCGCACTTTGTGAGTTGCCCCAATAGAACCCTTGCTTTTGGTTTGAATCAGTACAAATTCGTTCTATTAGGTATATAAAAAAAAAAGAAGTATACATATTCATTTTCTTCCGAACTAAATAAACCACCATCACACTTTGTGAGTGGCCCCAACAGTATCCTTGCCGTTGGTCTAAATCGGGTCAAATCGGTTCTAATAATTATTTTATATTCAATCAAGTAAACCACCATCACACTTTATGAGTGGCCCCAACAGCATCCTTGCTGTTGGTTTAAATCGGTTCAAACCGCTTATAATTAATTATTTTGGTCATTGATAAAATAAAATAAACCATCATCACACTTTGTGAGGGGCCCCAACAGTATCCTTATTGTTGGTTTAAATCGGTATACACACATCTAATAATGATCTACATCTCTAGACAGCCGGCTGTTTAGAGCATAAATCGAAAACACTTATAAATAACTACACAAAACAAAAGATCGCATCACTTATCAAGGTGAATCCTGATCCAACGAACCTAACCCACTAACAAAACCTCCTTCCTGTGACTTTTGTGGGATGCAGAGGTAAACACGGTCCCAAAACAACAAAAGTCACACACTAACATTCCTTCCCTCTCCCACCTGATTGCAAGGACGTGGCCGGTGACGTTATTGATCTTTAAAGGTAGGAGTCACTGGAACATGTACACTGAGAATGGCAGGTTACTACCAAGCCCCATTCAGTTGATTCTTTGTACAATTTCACTGGTTCAGATCAATCACGGAGTGCAACTATCGATACGTGCAGTCAGACTAAGCTAAGCTAAGCTAAGCTTATGTGAGGTCGATTTTAGAATATTGTAGCGTTGTTTGGTCACCCTATATAAAAAAAAGCATGAAGAACGAATAGAGTCAATCCAAAAGCAATTTTTATTATATGCACTACGTAAGTTAGGTTGGACGGCTTTTCCTCTCCCGTGATATGAAGCACGTTGCTTGCTGATCAGCATTCAAACATTGAAAGAACGTCGGGATTACGCAAAGATTTCTTTATTAAACAATATCATTTCGCAACGCATTGACTCAGCTGATCTCTTGTCAAGATTAAATTTTTATGCACCTTCCCGACAATCGACACTTGTTCGCAGAAGATCGCCATCGGACCAATTACGCTAAATTTGGACCGGTAAATCAGATGATGACTGTTTATAATCATCATTGTGAAATGATTGACCTAAATATGCCCTCAACAGAAAGATATATTTCAGAACCCTACGAAATCATAGAACTGAAGTCCTTATGTTAATATGAAGTCTACGATTTGATTGATTGACGAATAAATAAATAAAAAGAGAAATTTCAAACTTTTCTCCCTTTAACAGTTTTATTTTTTACTGTCAAAAAGTTGGATTTTAGGTGCCCATGTGGCCTGATGTGGTATGGCAGATCTGTTAATTGTCAAAATTTAATAAAATTGAGGAATCAAAATATCCTGATAATCCAAGTCCCAACACTGCACCTCACCTTGCACATATTCTTATGTTTTTTTTATTCGGTAGACATGAATTGAAGTCTGGACATTATTAAATTGAAATTATTTCAAATCATTTTCTTTCCGAGCACATCTTGTGGATTGTTTTTTTTTTAGTTTTAACGGTAGCTGTCAGGTGGTTCTGTATCACTACTTATAACTGAAGAATAAAACCAAAACAAAACATGCAATTATGTTTTATGGCATAATTTTCATGACCGATATAAAACTTGAAGCACTCTTATATCTTCATTAAAGCCTCATTACAACTATCATCTTTATCAGAGGCCTTAGATTCACAGATAAGAAGTGTACTACAACAATAACAAAAAATACTCTGAAAATTGTTACCAGTATAAAAAAAAATCAAATCGATTCAGATACATTAAATGAAAACCCCTTCAGTGCTTTTGAACACGATGAGAATGAGACGATCGCCAATATGAAACTCCTGGAGGATCTACAGTTATGGGCTCCCTCATATAACATTAGGCACAGTGCGGTGAAAAAAATGAATAAGCGGCTTTCCGATACACTTCCGAAAGATCCACGAACCCTTTTTTAAACAACGCAGACAATTTCACTAAATCTGGTTGGAGATGGCCAGTATTGGCATCACGGTTTTAAGTCTTGTATTGAAAAAGCTTTTAGTGGAACCAACGAACATTTCATACATCTTGATTACAAGAGAAAATAGAAGGATCGTTTGGAATGTTCACTTTTTGACGGGTTGCCATGGTTTTTGTTTTGTTTTGATTCGGTGTACCTAATAAAACTAGCCAAATGACAGCAAATTGAAATCAAGTTGTGATATAAACATCAAACTGAAATCATAATTTGATTTTAGTTTACGCGAAAAAGTTTGATACCTAATTTTTCATTTTACTGTACATTTGCTCTTCAAAAATATGTTGTTGCAGGTTTGTTTTCATTGAATATAAGGGTCGATTTCTTTTATCCTCTACATTTTTTCCTTACATCAAATGTAATAACAACTCTTACAATGAACTGTAGCGTACAAGCAAGGTTTAAAGTATTCATATTTTTGTATAACACCTTCACAAGATTTTTTCCTAGCCGCAGCCTTTGGGGAAGCAAACTTTGTTCGATAATAGTTAGCATAATTTTTTTTAAATTATTTAAAAAAGCTTGATCATTGTAAACTCAGCATGCTTTTCATGCAAATCTGTAGTAGAATCTTACCTTTCCCGGTTGGGTGTTCAATTTTACGTTATATTTACATCCACCACGATGCTTACTAATGTTCCCAAAAATACAGCAACAGAAAAAAAAAGAAACTGCAAGGTTACGCGAGGTCAGCGCACGCTTCCTGTGGCTACCGAATGAAGGACGAAATTGCTTTCTCCACTTCCGGTGCCGGTTTTTCCCATATCATTGAAAATTTTCATCAAACTTCCTAATGGTCCTCCAGCACTTCCTCCTTCCGCTTACAACCGTTGTCAAAGGCGACGACATATCCTTCTGATGGAATCCTGCTGGTGTTGAACAACGCACAGTCAAATCTCGTCTTTAAGCTCGGGTGGCGACGACCGACCAACGCGTCTGGTGGGGCAGTTGCTCCGTTTTGTTGTCTAGTCATCAGGCTAGTTAGGCGGAAAGCGTAACGAATCGTATTAAAATTGATGCCTCCGGGCGATGATTTTTTCGCTGCTCCTGCGTCGTTATTCGCAGCTCCCGGCCGATTTTTGCCACGAACCATCGGTTTTGCTTCCTGCCCCTCTCCAACCGGATAAAAATGTTTTTCCACGTTGTACTCCCTGCCCTGTTGTTGGTGTTTTTATCTTTCTTCGTTGCCTTCATTTATTTATTTATTGCGTTTATTATTCCGTTCAGCGACGGCATCGTCAATAAGTTAAGCTTATACTAATTCAATTTGGTTTGTTTTTTCGCTGCTCTCCCTTCTGATCAACGTGGTGGGTTTTGTCGAATCCTGTGTGTCGCGTCCTTGTGCTTCTTCCTTCCAGCTAGCACCAGTCAGTGTGGTATGTTTTCCAATCACTCCTTTTGCACAGCGAACTTTTTTTTTCTCCTACTATTCGTTGACGCTCGGTCTTTTGCACACCACACTGCTGCCACGCCGCGGGGGACGATATTGGTTTAACAACATTGAAAATCACTGGAATCGGGATCAGCAGCGGTATCGTGTGCGGGAGTAATCTTGTTAGCGAAAATGTTCACTGCTTGTTGAAAATTAAAAATAAGACCGGAAGAAGAGCGTCATAAAATGTGATAAAAATCGCGCTCCGTTCTGAGGGAAGTCACAAGAATTTTAATCGATTGCAAGCAGGAAGGCAAGCAAGCTAGAGCGTGGCTACAACTTTGAAGATGAAAGCTAGGGGAGCATGTTGGATGATGCTATTGTTTTCTTTTTTATGACTGTCACATTGTCTTCTAATGAGATTTTCTATGGTTGTACGTTCTTGTCTTTGTTCTAGGGAAAAGTTTCACCCTGACGATAGTGATATCGACGGTCCCGATCCAGGTTGCAACGTACACGAAGGCGATCAAAGTGACTGTCGATGGGCCGCGAGAACCACGGTCGAAAATGCGACATCAAGGCTTCCATCCGTTCGCTTTCGGACCACAACGATTCGGACCTGACCCACTGATGGGATCGCTGCCATTCAAGCTGCCTGGTAAGTTTTTATTAATCGAACTATTTTTAATAAATCATTCACGATGGAAATATCAGTATAAAAGTCACTCGCGTTAATAACATGGTGGAATATTACACAGTGACTGCGATCTCTTTTTCAAATGCTATAATAACTGAGAATGTTCAAAGCTCTACAAATTTTGATTTAAGATTTTGATTAATTTTAGATTAAATTAAGACCTCTCATAATAGGATTTCACTTAAAATCTTAAAATTCGTGGTTACTTAAATGCGAGTAAATATATGTTATAGACTTATAAGCCAAGTTTCCTCATTTTGTATCATTTTTAAGTAAACGTAACTCAAGTAATAACCAAATCGGCCGTTCAGCAAAGAAATCCATCCATAGGAGTCCCATAGCTTCTCCAGCTTCAACCGTAAGAATCATGCGGAAACAACAAAGACATAGAAACAAATGCGAAGATTATCTTAGATTATGCCTCTGTTGCCGCTCCTAAATACCTCGGATTCGTCAAAAGCAGTACTAATAGCGCCTAAACGGAAAAGTTTTCCCCCATCGCGCTGCTCCTATGGCACCAACGTCAGGCAACAACAACAACAACACAACGAACTAGGCTGAACAAATTGAAGCACCAAATTTTAAAACGTTTTGACTGGATTGTGTGTTTCAGTAGCTCTGATACCCATTCCCTCCGGGGTTCCACGGGAGAGGAAAAGGAAAACTTCTTCCCTGTAAGCAACACTCTCCTCTTCCCACGTGAACAGATCCTGCTAGCTTAGTACGCTAAGTCTTTAAACATATTTCAGGAAATAAACACCGTCATTTATTTCAATTTTCACTGTCCTAAAGGATTGTGATTAATGTTGCATTTTTCGGGTGGCACCGTTGTTCTTGGCACCGACATGGGATTGAGAGTCTGAGGGCGCAATTTTCACGGGATGTGGTGCTAACGAGCCGTCACTAGGCAACACAGAGCAGCTTCGGTTTCATCTCATCTCAAGGATCGGGAGGGGAAAGTTCTTTAAAAAGGTCGGAGAGTTTTGAGTTTCATCGTCAACAGCAGCAGCTTAAAGTCGCTAATCAACAACAACCAGTGCCCTCGGGAAAAGACACACGCGGTGATATCGATTATACTTCAAGATGTTTCCGCGAACGATTACATAGGAACAGCTCCCGGGTGTGTTGGTGGGGGCAGGTACAGCAAGGACAAGAGCAACGGGGAATAATAATTATTTTTCCGCGCGCGCAAATGTTGAAGGGTGAAAAACAAAACCAGTGCCACCGTGGGTGGCATTTTAGCGATCTAAGGAGTGAAATTAAAACACTTTATTGTCTCTGCTGCTCACTCTAGAAAAGGCTGCTAAATGACACGACAACAGCCGGAAGGAAGGGAACGATCCTAGACAGGATATGCAAAATGTGTCTGGTAGGGCTTGAGCTGTGCATTGTTTTGACTTATGTGGAGTTTTCTTCAAAATGAAAAAAAAAAAATCATCATACTTGAGAAGTGACTGTTAAACGCGTGTTGGATGGTGCAAATAAATTGTCTTTATAATGTGCAGCGTCATCCGACATATTCTTTAAAATAAAATTGCATTCACCAATTGTTTATCATTTGTGTTTATGATTCGATTACGTGCAATCCCAACAAATGGTTTTAGCAGCAAAACAGTTTGTACAGGCAAACATACTCTGTTTTTCACCTTAAATTGTTTGTTGTGATACTTGATAATCATGCTGAAATGCTGTGTACAAGTAACACATCCGTCGCAAACAATAGCAACATGTTATATGTAACTAAAATATGACGTTTTGAAGTTCCTCTTAGTTCTTAATCTTCAAAGTGTATTAATTGGAATTCTCAAATTTTATAATAGGCAATACATCGAATGCAGGTCTATTACCGTCGCAGTACACTTGTCACTGAACATTTGTGGTTACTACACTGTGCTACTTATTCCATTCACAATCAAGTTGCAGCAACTTATTTCGATGGAAGTGTGCTGCTTGGGTATGGAATGGGTATGACTGTGTTAACGTGATAGTCGCTTTGTTAGAACCCAAGAAGTCCTCTACACTTCCATGGTAATTCATTGGGATGGTGGATAAGAGGGTCGGGTTTGCAGCAGGGTTTCGTTTTTGCAAACCGTACGCTGAATTTATGTTAAGAAAGAAAGTGACTAACGAATCTTGAATATGAATGAGCCTGTTAAACTCATGATGTTCAGCTCAATAAGCAAAAATGGTCACTCTAAAGCCACCAAGCCCCTCATTTCACATCACACCACTTATGGTCGAGTTGTTGTTTCACCATTCAAACCCACACAGAAAAAAAATCTGAATTTTAACTGTCGCGTAAAATTATCTCTCGTTTAATGTTGAGCTATAGTTGGCATAAACATTGAAATTTCTTACAAGTTTGTATGCAATATTGTAGATTTTTTTGAAATATTGGGTAAAATTACGCCAAATCTAGAGTTAATCACGTAAGCGCTATACAGAGTGACTGGTAATTCGAGTTACACCCGAAAGGAGGTGAAATTATACCACATTTTCAGCAAAAAATTGTATCGCAAGGTAGTTCGAATAATCATTCCATACCGGGTTATTGATCTATTTATTTAACATTGCCGAGCAACGCTACCACTTTTTGCTCTGGCACTCGCGAATATTATCAAAGCCCACCAGAGAGTAAGCATTGTTTGGCTACTATGATCAATCTTTGTTTACTAACCACTCTATTCAATTGGCGCCACAGGCAGAGGAGCAATGGTTCATGATAGCTTACTATGTTGGGGGACACATTACGAAAACAAAAATATGACATGTAACGAAAATGGGGGGTGTTTCAAACACATATTTCTCAAAGCCATTAATGGGAAGTATGTCATGCATATGTCATTCGACGGAGACATTATTCAGCATTTTTTGTGTACAGTACAAATAGTGAAAATTCTTAAACAATTAAGAAATTTAACGAAAAAAATGGTAGATATTTTCTCACACAGTCATCACTTTCCAGCCCATGCAAACATCAAACTCGCACTGCGCATGCTCAAAAGACGGTTCCCCTTTCGGCGAGTTGATCGGAGCTCAGAGTAACAATAGAATGAGGGGAGGCGAAGAGCAGTGTCGATAAAAATGACTGCCAAATCACTCACACCGTCATTCACTGCTTGAACGTCAAACAGTCCAGTCCGGTTTCGTCCACTCTCTCTCTCTCTCTTGAGTATTAGTTTTGTGACAGTCCGTTCGCGTCTCCCTTTCGCAGTGATAAGTGAAACATCGTTCGATCCCAGTATGGGAAAACCGCCACGTGGTGATGCGGTTGCAAGCTCGTCCGGGAAGCGTTCCCGTCAAGAAATCGCCAACGCTCAGTCGGCCTCGAAAAAGCTGCTGTCCAACAACCGGTACGCCATTCTGGAAAATGGTGATGAACCGGAAATAAAGAAGAAGGAGAAACTACCACTCCTCTTTGCCAAGGGATTCCCACCAGGACTTCGGGAAAACATCGAGTACTACATCGAGAAAGGCTTCTTGAAGTGCACCATGCGCCTGTGCTCTGAAGGCATCATGCTGATGGTACCAGCAAGGAAGGACTACAAGGCCGTTGAAGTGCTGCTGAAGCAGAAAAAATGGGAGTATTTCTCTCACGACATCGAGGAGGACAAGCCGCTCAAGATGGTCGTGCGTGGTCTACCCGATATGGAAATCGCCGCGCTGTCGGATGAGCTGAAGAAGAACGGCCTAAAGCCATCACAAGTCTTCAGGATGATTCGGCACGACGCCTCCCGCAAGTACCGTGACCAGCTGTATTTGGTCCACCTCGAGCGAAACACAACGTGTTTGAAGGACCTGCAGTGTACTCGGGCGCTTTTCCATATCGTGGTTAAGTGGGAACGCTACCAACATCGCTCTCGTAACGTCACCCAATGCTCAAACTGCCTCATGTTTGGACATGGGACCAAAAATTGCCACATGGTTCATCGCTGCAACGAATGTGGCAAACAACACGCACCCGAAGAATGCGAGAGCATGGAAAACGCCGATCCACAATGCGCCAACTGTGGTGCAGCACATCGAGCTACCAGCAAGTCTTGTCCGAAGCGTGCGGAATTCATGGAAATCCGCAAAAGGGCTGCTGCATCGGTTCCGCCAACTGCTGAGGTGCCAAACCATCTGGCTAATCCGAGCCGTCAGTCCTATGCGGCAACGGTTTCGTCCCCTCTCCCGGATCTATCGTGGCGTCGAGATGATGCCCCACCATCGCATGAAGCAAGAAGAAAACTACTCACAACAGAGGAACTTTTTACCATCATGGCAGAAGCAATCATCATCAAGCGCTCCTGCAGAACCAGAACTGAGCAGATTCTTGCTGCATCACGTTTCATCGACAATTATGGACCGTGAAACCATCAAGATCGCCAACTGGAACGCTTGCTCGCTCAAGAGCAAGATCATCGTGTTCGCTGACTTCCTCAACAAACAAAACATCGACATTGCCGTTATCACCAAAACCCACCTTAAACTGGAGGTAAACGTCTACCTTCCTGACTTCCGGCTTCTAAGACTAGATCGAACCAGCTCCGGGGGAGGAGGAGTTGCTATTGCTGTCGGCTTCTGCCGAGCTTCCAGCTGAAAACCATCGAAGCTTTAGGGATAGAAGTCTCCACTCCTGTCGGCCCTATCACCATCATTGCGACGTACTGCCCCAAGCAAATCACCATCAGGGACGGGTCGGCAGCAGACCTGCGGAGGGACATCATCAAACTAACTCGACGGCGCGAAAAGTACATCATTGCTGGCGACCTGAACGCCAAACACCAGGCTTGGTGCAATAGTCGACGCAACCAAAACGGCACCATCCTCAACGACGACCTGCAAGAGGCTCGCTACACCATATTAGCGCCGGACTCTCCCACCCGGTTGAGCCGGTCTGGCGTTCACTCCACCATTGACATCCTCATCAGCAACATGGGAGACAACATCTCGCTACCTGTGACCCATCAGGAGCTGAG